CGCTGTTTGTTTTGAAACAAGAACCTTGGTATGAGGAAGACGCCACATATAATGGTGGAAACTTGTTTGATAGGTCGCTGGTGAACACCATGAAAAATCCCGAATTGTTTGTTTAGTTCTTCAAATAACCGCAGAGAAAACTCTCTCAAATTTTACTGAATAATGATCTGCCTTTTTTCATTGATTAAACGCCTATTTGTAAGGTTGACCATTACAAGGAGAATTCCTAATCTATTAAGAAAACAAATCCTAATCTACTAAGAAAACAAATCCTAATCTGCTAAGGAAACAAATCCTAATCTACTAAAACTCTTACTTGTCTAAAATAGAAAAAGGAAATTAAATGGCATGAGAGCCTTACAATCAGGCCAAAAATAAAAAGTATTCTTAAACATGCGAATTTAAGCTTAGTCTTGGCCCAATTCCTCTAGAACTTGAATCATATTGATGAATCTTCGTTGCTCATGTGGATCATGCTCAACGAACCTCCACAAACTTGCTTGAGTCCATGCCTCTTGAATCAGTTCGTTGAATACATCTTTAAATTCCTTCCTCGTGCTCTTGTAACCGGCCCAATTGGAACTTGAACTAGATCCCTTGAAGTTGTGCTATGATTTGCATCACTAGCTCTCTCTCTCCCTCTCTCTCTTATCCAACTCTCCATCACTACCCTCTTCTGCGAAGCAAAGCCACCGCCACCCACTGCTCAATACCCAGAAGTTGCCTAGGTATCTCAGTTTTTTTTTCTATTTTTCTCATTCCCTTTACACCACCGCTCAACTTTCACTCTATTTTGTCCATCTCTCCGCTTCTCTCCCGCTCTGTCTCTCTCTCTGTCTCCACTTTTCTATCTTTTTGCTGACTGAATAGGACATGCTCAACACACTATGCACTCAATATGTTTGATAAAAATGCCCCAATTTCTATTCCCCTAACTATATACACACACACACACATACACAAACACACATGTCACCCACAAAGATAGAGCACACAAACACAGAGATGGATCATACCCACACGCTAGACAAATAGAATACACACACAAAAACCTTGCAAAAAATGAATTAGATACTTTGAAATTATCTGCTTCACCTCCCTCAATTTCTCACAAATCTTTGCCATCCTCCTTAGTCTCTCATATCCACTTCATAAAAACCGCTATCAAGTCCAGGGTAACCTCAAAGACCTACCCTCTTACATTTGTCTTGAGTATCCCTAGGTCCTCATTCTCCACCTTCAACCTTTTGTAAAACTCCATACACATTGAAAGGTTATAACCCCCAATCGATTCAAACCAAATACAAATCTCATGTCTCTCTATCACCCTCACTACCTTGTCATTCGGCGTGAGGATGGGCTGCTTCACTTTTTCTGCTGTTCCTAATTTTTGACCGCGATTTTGCATTGTGTATGTGGCTTATACGGTTAGGTGAGTGTCACTCTCTCTCGGATATCATGCAAGAAATGGGAAAATTTTTGAGTGTGTACAAAAGTGCTCCCCAAGCGTCGAGAGACTTTCAAGTGTCATGTTTTACTTGGAATTGGTATTCTAAGGTCGTCTCCTCAGGGAAGGAAGGTGAATTGTGTGAAGGTGATTTTGTGAAAAATGAAAAGTGTAAAATCTTGTGGATTTGTCTTTTATTGAGTTTTGTTCTTGATGAAATGTAATGGAAACAAGGTTTGCTAATCCAAAGGGGTCATTCCAATAGGAACGCCAAATCAACTCTAATCATTCTTCCAATGGTGCATAAGCGTTCGATTGATTCATAGAAATTGAGGGGCTAAAATGGAGGTGAGGTCTCAAGCACACCCCGTGACAAGTTTACGGTGTATTAAGAGCTCACAACCACATCTGCACTCAACCTAGTCAAACCAAACCACCTTACACTATAAGGAGGGATGAAGAAGAGTGGATTTGGCATACACAAGAGGAAATCTCCCCTTGGATTAGCCAACATAAAACTGAGCTATTCATGTTAAATGAAAAGACATACAATGTGTAAAGATAATGGTATTGGAATGGAGATTAAAACTTATGCTAATGTAAAGAAAAGTGAAAGTACAAAAATAAGTGCATTTAATACCCAACTTAAAATCTTGAAGTGAAAACTTGAATATAACAATGGCATTCTGTGCAATAAATGAAGCTTACAGGAGTCTTAAAGTCGATTACAAGTGAAATGGGTAAAGAAAATGCAAAAATCTATCTGCTCCCTCTAAAACTGTCTTCCTCCTTTGGCTTCTCTCTCTACAATGCTAAACATTGCTGTAAAAACTTCAAGTGATGCGTTCATTTTAGTCCTTGGAGGTGCAATAGCCTGTGTGTGAGGCTTTCCCTCAATGGGGGGCTGAGTTGATGCATTGGATAGGCTATAGGACAAGGCTAGCCTGGAACACCCCACGCTTACACCATCTCTCTTTTCCTCACAAATGCTTAGATCTCAAAGTCCAACCTCAAATTAGGGGAGGCATGTATGTGTGTAAGAGATGTCAGGGGATAAATGGGGAAATCATAGGTGGGATCCCCAAGTGGTAGAACTTGAGTTACAGATTGTCTAGCATTTCTAGGTAAAACCTTCTAGAAGGTCGACACAAACCTTTCGGAATTTATTGGCAGGGCAAGTGGAAAGAGCTGTGCAGTAAGCCTAACCTTCCAAATGGTCAATGCAAACCTTCTGAAAGGTTTATTCTTGTAGGCCAAACCTTCCGGAAGGTTTTGGCAAGGACTGAGGCAATTCAAAGTGCAAACCTTCCTGAAGGTTTATGACCAAACCTTTTAGAAGGGTTTTACCAGAATTGCCTTTTTCTTGGTTTCTTCACCTTCCAACCCTCCCTTTAAGCCACCCCCTTATCTCTATTGTCTTTAAGCACTACAATGGGGGCTTAACTCAAGCCATTTACAACTCTTCACCTACATTCACACAAAACTTCATTAAAAGGTAGATTAAATACATTTCTTTTCAAATTCTCGATTAAATCATCAAACATACAAAATACAAAAATCACAATGTAATTAAAGAAATGGAATTGGGCATGGATAAAATGAAACAACTGTGGTATTTTTCATTGATCATTCACAAAAGTTCAATACAATGAGTTAGAGTTTCAAAAACAAAACGGCCAAACATCCTAAAGACACTTCTACTAGGTTGATAAACAAACCCTAACTGTGTACAACCTAAAATTAAAAGAAAATAACAAAAATAACATGATGACACAACTACTTGTCTTCCTCGTCTCCATCATCCTCTCCAACATCCCCATCATCATTGCTCCCATCACCGTTCTCCTCCTCGTCATCGAAATCGTCATCATCGAAGCCTCCCACCTCAACGACTGTAGAATTCATAGGAACGGAGGTAGAAGGTTTGGCAGCTGGAGGTGACAGAGGTCCACTAGGAATGGGCTCACTCGGGAAAGTATATTGAAACAACCTAGTCACCATCATCGACATCCCATACATTGTAGTCTCCAATGCATCCAAACGCTGCATCATGGTGCGAGCTAGGGCAGAAGTGGTAGGTCCAAAATAGGATGGCTTCACTGAAGATGGCTCAAGTCCCGAGGCACTAACTCTCACACCCCCAGACTTCTCTGCCCACTTGTTATTGCTTGATTTCCCAACTGTACCGGTCTTAGGGGGGAAACACATCATGTGCATAGGCCTTGACCTTGCAATGGGAGCACTTCCTTGTGACGAGATTGGCGAAGAGGAGATTCGCCTTTGGCTTTGCAGCCTGGGCGAACTCCTTCATCTACTCCCAGACCAAAAGGGCCATATCCATCACCTTCCCTATCATAAACGCATGGAGGAGGGTGAGCTTCTCGACATTTGGGTTCTTCTCGGAACCCTTGGCATCAAATTGTAGTGGAGGACTTTGTTCATGACCCCGTAGGAGTGCTTGAGGCCCCCGACTAGAGTTGTCCCTTTGAATTTGGTCGGGTCCTCGTAGGTGAGCTGGACATAGTCAAACAGGGTCTTAATCCCTCCGACATTGTGTGGGCACACCAGAGTGTTTGGGGGAAGCCTCTGGTAACTCAACAAAGTGGCAATCAAATTGGGGGTCACATCAAAGGTCTTCCCCCTCACATTCGTCATGAGGATTGAGCCATCCTTGCCCAACACCCTCAACTTCCAATAAAATTCCCTACACAACGCCTAGTTATAGCCGTTTACCGGCTCAAAATAGATTCCCAAACCTTGTCCCTCTATAATCCTCACCACTTCATTGTTCGGACCAAGTGTGTCTTGTCCACAAATCGCTTGCAAGTCATGTTTTTCTCGTTGATCCTTTGTCCACGAGCATCGTGTCTCACCTTCATCATCCTTTCTTCCCTATCCTTACTACTCAGGCCCTCCATGCTGCTCTTGCGGGACCTCATCCCCACGGGTTGAGGGGACTCTTGCCCATGTGCTTGGTGCAAGCCATGAAGATCAACAATGCCCCCAAGCCAAAAAATGTCAAAATCACCAAGAATAGCCTCTTAGTGGGCTCACAAACATCTAGGGACATCCTAACCATGCGGGCCATTGCAATGGAGTTCAAGGTTTTTGGGGAAGATCAAAGCGAATTTGAGAATTAGGGGAAACTGAGAAACCTAGGGTTTAGTGAGCAATCCACCAATCTTAGAGAAATCCAAGTAAAACTCAACCCCAGGTGTATTAATTAGGAAAAAGAGAGGCATCTATTTTAGTTGTAAAGTGGGAAGGTCTAACTTTTCTCTAGGAAACTTTATGTGCAAGTTTTCATTTTCTGTTCAATTTTCTTGGATTTTCTACTGAATCTTTGGAATATCTTCTGATTCTTGTCGATTAAATCAGGATTTCTAATCAAATTCATAATCAAATCCCACCGAAACCACCGTATATAACCAAAAACTTTGCTGCTCTATTCAAGAACATGCCAAGTTCAGAAAATTTCTTGAAACTGTCAAATTCTGCTGCAACGGATTTAAATTCTTCGATTATTCTTTATGGTGAAGATAGAATTAAATCTATGCCTCCTACTCTCAGTTTGAATCCCCAAACTTCTTTGAATCTCCAAATTCCTCCGAATCTTCAAAATTCTTTGAGTGATCGAAATCCTTCGAGTTCTCAAATTCCTTTAAATGTGCAAAGCTTTCAGGTCCCAATTGTTCAGTCAAGTCTTCCTGATGTCTATAATGCTCAGATTCCTCCTCCTTGCAATCTGTCTGGTTCCTTTTCTTCTGTGGCTACTTCGAGGCCAGCAAAGAGAGTTGTTTACAACAATGGGGAACCAGGCATGTATATTGGTCCCCAAATGAAAATCAAGAACTTGCTAAAGGTTTTCACCAAACCTTGATTGGCAAGTGTGCGTATGGTAAGCCATCACTGGGGGTCATCAAGGAGTTCATTACTTCAAGGTGGCTTCCAAAAGGTGAGTTCTCTGTTGGTTTTTTAGATCCTAGGCATGTGTTGATTAGATTCAATTGCTATGAAGATTATGTAAAAACCTGGTTGAAAGACACAACTTACATCAAAGGCTTTCTATTTTGTTTCTTTAAATGGTTCCTAGAGTTTCACCCTAGGATTGAGCCTCCTATTGTACCTGTTTGGGTGTCTCTACCAGGATTGCTAATTCACCTCTTTAACAAGGAGAGCCTACGTGATATTTTGATGATTGATAATGCCACTTTACAGCTTTCCAGGCCTGGAGTTGCTAGGGTTTGTGTGGAGATGAACCTCTTTGCTAACAATCCTAAGAAGTTCTGGTTAGATATGGGAGGTGTAAGTGGTAGATGGCCAAAAATTTATTATGAGAAAGATTTCAAGTATTGTGCTACATGTTTGAAATAGGGGCATGATGAGCTGAGCTATAGAAAGAAAAAGAAGGAGGATGAGGTTGTTGTAGTGGGGAAGGTTGATATCCCTATTGTGGATAGAAATAAGGGGGAAGTCTGGCAGACTGGAAAAGAAAAGGCAATGGTGCAGGAGGTGCATAAAGTGACTCAGAGGAAAGAATATAGACCAAAAACTGTTGTTAGTCATGGTGTGGAAAAAAGATTTACTGTCTTGGGGGATGCAAATGAGGTTCAGGAGCAAAATGTGGGAGCAGTGGAATGTCCTGGGGGGGAACAATGTAATTTTCAAAACTCCTTTCCTGTAGGAGCTGCTTTAGTTAGTAATGTTCCTATTCAGAATGAGGAGCGTTTCTTAGAAGTGCCTCAGGTTGCTCTGGTGGACCTTATGCTAGAGATCCAAGTCCAATTTGAAGATGCGATGATTCAGGATAGTGAGGAAGATAATAATGTGGAAGTTACTGAAGATTTGGGTGCCAATTGTGAAGAGGTATCCTCTGTCCCTGTTCTTTTGACCAGTAGTATCTCTGGTATGAATATTAATAACGAGAGGGAATGTATTGAAAGTGATGGGGTGAGATTTTTTGAACCTGTTAATAAGGTGATTGGTCAGATTAATAATGATGAAAATGATGTTGCTTTGGAGAATCTGGGTGAGTGTAGGGTTATGCTTTCTCCATCCAAGGGTTCTTCATTTATTGTAGATCATCAATTCAATGTTAGAAAGGACTATGATGGTCCTTTGGATGATCAGTTGGGATTGGTGAGTGAAAGAGTTCCTCCTAATAAAGGGTACTACTATGATCAGGGTAGTTCTCACTCTATGGGTTCTGATAACTCTGTTAATGAGGTAGATGAAGGTACTAGATTAATTTCTAGTGGGAAGTTTCCTTCTATTAATGTATGATTAATCTGATTTTCATGGAACATGGGAGGAGTAGGTAAGGAGCCTAAGAGAAGGCTGGTGAAAATGATTAAAATGAATGATGTTTGTTTGGTTGCAATACAGGAACCAAAATTGTTAGTTTCTAACCTCGCAGTTTTTTCAAGAAATATTGGTTTTGCTCATTTTTGCTTTATTGCTCTTGCTGAGAGGAAATATATGGCTTTTATGGGATGACAGTTAAGGTGAAAATCTTGTTTTCTCATGAACAAGTTTTGACTGCAGAATTTTCTTTTAAAGATTCTGAGGTTTTTTGGATCTCAGTGGTTTATGCTAGCTGTGATCACAGTTTGAGGAGATTATTATGGCAGCATTTGGTAGATATTGATATTTCATCTCATACACCTCAATTGGTGGTGGGGGATTTTAATTCTATTCTAAGTTCAGAGGAGAGGAAACGGGTGCTCATCCTTCCCTTATAGCTATGGAGGATTTTATTGATTTCCTAGATCATTGAGGTCTAAGGGATTGTGGTTTTAGTGGAAGCAGATACACTTGGTGTGATGGTGTGATAATCGACCAGGTCATGCTAGAATGTTGCAAAGGTTGGATAGGGCCTTGGTTAATGGGGCTTGGGATTTGAGATTTGATAATGTGGAGGTGGTACATTTGGCTAAGGGGACGTCTGACTATAATCCATTATTAATTAAAACAATGGATTGTCCAGTTCAAAAGAGGATTTCATACTTTAGGTTCTAGGATATGTGGTCTGAGCATGAGGGGGTTTTTCAATCTGATTGCTTCTCATTGCGGAGGTGATTATTCTGAGAATCATGTTTCTAATATGTTCATTAGACTAAATTATCTAAAGGCTCATATGAAGTTATAGAATAAGGAGGTTTTTGGGAATGTGTTTGTTAATATAAGAAATCAAGAGAAGAAAATTCAATTGGTAGAGAAGGATTTGGATCAGGAATTTACTCTTTACAAATCCTTGGAGCTTGAGGGTTTGAAGAAAGAGTTAGATGAATTTTTAAGGAGGGAGGAGATTTTCTGGAAACAACAGGCCAATATTAAGTGGGCATTGGAGGGGGAAAGAAACACTAATTTCTTTTATGCTATTGCTAAGAGCAAGGCAGTTAGAAATAAGGTTTCTAGAATTAATGATGAGGAAGGTTCATTGGTGTATGGTGATCAGGAGATAGTTGGGGTAGCTGAGAAGTTTTATACTAAATTGTATCAATCAAAAGAACATGTTATACAATAGGAGATTTTTTAGGTGATTCTTGAATTGATGGGAAACCTAGAAAATGAAAGGTTAGTAGTTGAAGCCTCCATCGATGAAGTGAAGAATGTGGTGTTCTCTATGGCAATTGGGAGTGCTCTTGGGCCTGATGGCTTATCTGGTAAATTTTATCAATTTTTTTGGGAGATTTTTAAGTGGGATGTGTGGATGGTAGTTAATTTTCTCTTGAAAAGGGGAGAGGTTCCTAAATCTGTGAATTCTACTATATTAGTGTTGATTCCCAAGAAAGATGCCCCTTTAACCTTTTCTAATTTCAAGCCTATCAGCTTATGCAATTTTTTGTATAAGATTTTCACTAAGCTGATTACAACTAGGCTTGCTCCTTTACTTCCTATTTTGGTCTCTGAGGAGCAACATGGGTTTGTGAAAGGAAGAGGCATTGGGGATTGTGTTTATCTGGGACAATTGTTGGTAGAAGAACTAGATAGAAAGGTGGAGGGGGAAAATTTAGTGGTGAAGTTGGATATGATGAAGGCATATGACATGATTGAATGGAATTTTTTGTTGAAGGTTTTAGCTAAATTTGGCTTTTCTAGTTTATTCATTCAGATTGTGTCTAACTATCTGAAGAATCAGTATTTCACTATTTTATTTCAAAGGATTTAGATGTGGCTTCTTCTCTAATTCTAGGGGATTGAGGCAAAGGGACCCACTTTCTCCTTCTTTATTCATTCTTGCTGAGGAGATGTTGAGCAAGGGATTAAGGAGTATCTACCAGAGGCAGTTGGTTACTCATTTTCATATGGGTAGAGGGACTACTTTGGTGAGTCACTTGCTTTTTGCTGATGATACATTGCTTTTTCTTAGGGGGAATAAGAAGTTAGTAGTAAATGTCATGAAGTTTATTAGATGGTATGAGAGTTGTTCTGGTCAGAAGGTTAATAAAGCTAAGAGTTCTATGTATTGTTCTAGTAGAATTCCTTTGGCAAGGAAGAACATTTTGTCATTTATAATGGGAATACCTAGCAAGAGTTGCCCTTTTTATTGTCTAGGTAGTCCTATCATTTGGGGCAGATCTAGAAACAATTACTTTGAGGATGTGGAGAGGTATTTTAGGAATAAAATTGAGGGTTGGTATGGCAGAATGTTATCAGGTATGGGGAGGGTTGTGATGATCCAATCAGTGCTAATTGCCATCCCTCTTCATATGCTAGCTTGCATGTGTATTCCTAAAAGGGTGGTAAGGAAATTGAACTCCTTGATTGTTGGTTTTATCTGGTCCAATAAATTGGATGTCAAAAGGAAGACATTGAGTTTCTTTGGAGAAGGTTTGTAAACCTAAAGCAGAAGGTGGTTTGGGAATCAGGAGATTTGAAGCTATTCAATTTGCTTTTAGAGTTAAGCAGGTGCGGGAAATTCTAAATGGAGTATCTTTATGGTCTAAGGTTTATAAAAGTAAGTTTAAGGTTTATAAAAGTAAGTTTTTGAAGGGCAAACATATTCTAAGGTGTGGTATGGTGGGAGGTGGTAGAAGTTTGAAGATTTTAAAACCGTCAATTGAGTTTACATTGAGTAATTCTATAATGTTAGTGGGAGATGGAAAAACTGTGGATTTCTGGTGTGATCCACGGTTGGATTATGGGCCGCTGATTCATAGAGTAGAGGTTCAGCCACAAGCTTTTCCTAGATTGGATGAGGTATGGGTTAATAATGAATGGTGTTTAGAGGAGGTTATGGGTTCATTTACTCCTAATTTGCAGTCTGAGATTCTGAGTGCTAGACTTGTGCTTTCTAATAGTCTGATAGAATAGTTTGAAAGTATACTAACTCAGGCAATTTTTCTGTCAAGTCTGCTTCGGACCAAATTAGACAGCAAGGGGTGCAGAGTGCTATTGCTAAGAGTATATGGGGTCAGAAGATTTTTCCTAGTGCCCATTTCTGTGGATGGAAAATTTATAGAGATGCTCAGTCTCTGGATTCAAGGGTGTAGGGTGTGGGTGTTTCCTTAGCAAGTAGGTGTCATTTGTGTTTGTCAGACTGCTCATCTATTCATTGACTATCCTTTTGCTAAAGCTATATGGAATAGAATGGTTGCAACTATGGGTTTTGAGGTGTTAGCTAGGGAAACTCCTATATGTAGATTTTCGAGACTGGTTAGGAGGTTCAAGGCTCAATTTGCAAGTCATGGTTTGGCTAGAGGAGTATCACTCTTGAGGAGGGAAAGATGTAGAAGGAGGTTTGAGGGGGGGAAATTCATATGCTATATATTTGCAAGTGGTCAGTGCTTTGAGGTTGCAGGCCATTTTGATTAAGCCTAAAAGACCAGATGATGGTGTGGGAAAGGATCTGTTGATTGATTTGAAGATTGTTTGTCATGGAAAACAGAGTGAAATGGATTAAATGGGAGCCTCCTGTTGAGGGCTTAATGAAATTGAATATTGATGGGGCTTCCAAGGGTAGGATTGGTCTATTGGGTGGTGGCATAGTGTTAAGGGATCACAAAGGGCATGTAATATTAGCTGCTGCCAATTTTTATGGGCTGGGATCTAATATGAAAGCTGAATCTTTGGCTTTATTGGATAGGCTCAATTTGTTCTGGTAGTATGGATTTGTAGGATATTAGATTCTCATTGAATCTGATTTCACATATTGTTGTATAGATGGTGTTGGGGATGGCAGAGGTACCATGGAGATTGAAGGTTGTTCTGGAGAGGATTAGGGACTTGTTTAAGGCTATGCAGGTGCAGATTAAGCATGTATACATGGAAGCTAATACAATAGCTAATTTTTAGCAACTTTTGCAGTTCAGAAGGAGAGATCTACTGATTTTTCAGAATGTGGGATTTTACCACTTGCATGAAGGTTGTTGTTGCAGAGGGATCAGAAGTTTCTACTTGCTACCAAATTGAAAAGGGTTGTTATCAAATGTTCCTTACCTCTTTAATGACTCTAGTTGATGGGCAGCCGTACTTAGGAAGTGCAGTAGTTATACAGGAGTATTTTCAATTTTGTCTGGTATTTTGAAACAATTTTTTGTAGCAGAAATTCTGTTATGAAACAGTTATTTGGAACAAAATATTTGGGGGATACTTGTAACAGATTTTTTTGTTTTCTGTTAAAGCAGTTACTGTTTATTAAGAAACAGTTTCTGTTTTTTGATTCTTGTAATTTTTTAGATTGAATCAATAAAATTCTTTTTTTCTTAAAAAAAAAAAAGGTGTATTCATAAGGAGTTTTAATGGGTGGGTGATTGTTCTTTGAAAGTTCAAAGAGAGTAGAGGAGGGAGAGAAGAGAGTTTTGGAGCTTGAGATTTGAGGGAAATGTGAAGGGTTTTTTTGTAAAATCTGAACTTAAACCCTCGTTTTTAGCATTCTGGGCAAGACCTTCAGGAAGGTCGATGAAAACCTTTGGAAGGTTTTGCACACTGCTGGGGCAAAAGCTATCCAATAGTGAAAACCTTCCGGAAGGTTTTGCCTTTATTACAAAACCATTCCTGTGCTCCAAATCTCAAATTCAACCCAACTTATATAAACTCCTAGACATTCTAACAACCCTATCTATGACATCTATTCTACCAAAAACCTGAACCACACATGTGAACCACAATTGAGTGATCAAAATACAAGACATGGATTTCTCAGTATAACTACCAAAATGAATACCCAAAATGTAAAACATAGATTCAAATGACAAGACCATTCCTAAATCTTATCAAATATTGAAAGTTGAGCAATATTCCCCCATCCTACAAGCTTAGAGTTGCATGAAGGCATTATT